CTCTTCCTCTTTCTTTTCGACTTTCTCTAAAGTCTCTTGTACTTCCTTAGCTTTGTTTGTCTTCTTCTTCCTATAATGGTATAATAACAATAATACAAACATGATAAGAGTTAATTATTACAAAATTAGCAACACAAGGCCTACACTACAGTCTTAGAACATAAAATGTTCTTAAAAGTTATAACATAACTTTTTAACTTTCCCCAAGGAGCCTATTCCCTTCAGCTTGAGCGATCCAGACATTATATTACCAAAAGCCTCATCCATCTTAGAGTCTGCCTTGCTCGCCATTTTGTACTAGGCGTGGCAGAATAACAAGGCGTGGCCATTATGGGTGTGAACAAAAAAATTTTTGTGCATTAAACAAAATAAATTCATCCTGCATGTGTGCTATCTGATTATTCTCTCTGATATCTGTGAAGACTGTGATATCTTTATGCATGCAATTCATAGACATTAGAGTAGTGAAAATGATGCAAATACAATATCTATGAATGCATGTACGTGCCTTTGGCTATGCCCTTTTTAACTTCTGCATGAGCGCTGCATGCGCAGTATTTACCATTTGAGTACATAAAATTATTATGGCTTCAAATCAAGGTGAGGATACTTGTGCAATTTGTCAGTGATCATATTCTGATCCACGTCTGATCCTATGCAATCATAGTTTTTGCAAAGACTGTCTTAGGAAGCTTTTTTCTACGTGGAAGAGAGCTGAATGCAGTGTCCACTTTGTCGAAAGGAGCACTTTTTCTCAGAAAATTAGTCTATGCAGTAGAAGAGTATTTGTTATTTGTTATTGTTATCAGATGCACTTGTTGTCACCTTTTGTTATTTGTGCAGAGAACTGATATTATGTGATTTTTGTGAGAAAGCACATAGAAGAATGGCCATTTTTAAACATCACTGCTTGCTTCCACCAAACCCAGAAGAAGCAATTAAAGTTATTTAACAACCAAAAATATCATGTCCAGATTGTGCTTAATACGGCAAGTGTGCTGATGAAGAGTACATGATGGGTTATCATGTACTCTTGCTGATATATATATTGCAAACATCAATTACATGCTGTTAAAATGAAAAGCCAGTTGCGAGCAAAATATGAAAAAAATATGAAAAACCCAAGCAAATCCACATCCTATGCCAAGACAATTGCCACAGCTGATAAACAAATCACAACATATTCTATGGAAATGAAAAGAGCCATTACATCTCATTTTGATTCTATTGAACAACAACTGAGCAACGCAAGACAGCTTTGCTAAATAAAGTTCATAAGAAGTATGATAGCATTGCTGAAACACTCCATGCTGAAAGAAAGCAACAGCACTTCAAAGCAGTGAAGAAAAAAATAAAAACTTTGTGCACAACTTCTTACTAAAAGAAGTAAAAATACCATAAAAGTGGCACAAATGCAAAGGAATCAATGCAGGAAATCTTGTCTTTATCATGGAATCCTAGTGTCATCAATAATGCTCCACTATTTTTATTTTTATGTGATGAAAGAAATGGACATGGACAAGTGAGAGCTTGTAAATTGGAAATAAAACTTAGAATAACAAAATCTGAAAAAGAACGTATAAAAAAGAACCTACGACAGCAGAATAAGTGCTACATACAACTACACAGTTAATGTTAATGAAGTCATAATGTTTGACTCAGGAACAATTATTATTCATCAAATTGTGAAGATTTCCGACCCATCCCTGACTTACTATTCCCACAGCAGCTGAATATGACATGTAAAATTACTCATAATCCAAAGCTGTGGGCTGCTAGCCTGTGTGGTTTAAACCGGCAATTCTTGTGGCCTACCTATATGGTTGTCTACAGTGTGTTAGTGTTGGCAATAGAGTTTCCAATTTACTACCAGTAATGTCTG